CAAATCAATATTACTAGCATATATATTGTTACAAATTGAAATTATTCTTTATGCCCCTTGTTCAATCTCTCTGTATCCCACCCTCTCTCCCCCCTCCCAGAACTATGTATTTGACTCTCAAGTCTTGATGTGCTCAAAATTAATTGTGCACCACTTGTTCTTATTTGTGGTTTTATTTCCTTCCTATAGAGAAATGTTTTTATAGAACACTATGATCCAAAAGAGTATGATCCTTTTTATATGAACAAAGAGGACCCCAATTTTCTGAAGGTATGATAGATTTATTATTTTAATTTTGGTATTATGTGTTTGGTTGTTTTAAGCAGCCTTTGTGTATGAATAGTCCTTTAGTGGTTCACTAACAATGCAGTTACATTTTAATAGTTTCCCATCTCCATATCTTTGAAAGGAACAAAAAGCCAAAGGCCAAAGTTAATTAAATCTCTGTGAAATCTGAAAATATTGTATAATAATTGGGTAATAAATAATGTTTAAAAATTTCATAAACTTTAAAATTGGTTGCAAAATAATACATTTTCATGTTAGATTAATGAGAAAATTGACTTTCAAATAAAAAACCACTCATAATTCCACTACCCAGAAGTAACTCATTAACATTTTTTTGTTTATCCTTCTAGACTTCTTTCTATATGTATGTATATATGAGAGGTCTTCAAAAAATTCATGGGAAGATTTATATTGTCTTTTTTTTTTTCCTTTTTGTCTTTTTTCGTGACCGGCAACGGATCGCAACCCTCAGTGTCGCGCCCGTACTGGACCGGGACCGGCAACGGGATCGCAACCCTCGGTGTTGCGTCCGCACCTCGCTCAGCCAGTGAGCAGCCGGTCTGTATGTGGGATCCGAACCCTTGGCGGGAGTGCTGCCGCGCTCTCAAGCGGTGCACTGTAGCAGTGCGCCACCGGGCCGGCCCCTATATTGTCTTTTAATTCTATTTTTCCACAAGCTTTTTGAAGTACCCTTGTATATACATTTTTATTTTACAATAATAGGATTATTTCATACAATTGGTTTTATAATGTGCTTTTTTACCGCCTTCAACAGTTTATGGTTTGCTTCTTTGTCAATAGATATAAATATATAAGTTTAATCGTTGCATGACATTCTCTTATTAATAA